CAAGATGATGCTGCGCACTTGCCTGTTTGTCGTCTTTTGTGTCGCTATGCTCATCGATAATGCAAGTAAGTTCGACTATAGTGAGGATCGATAGCATATTCTTTAAGATTTAGTACCGAAACATCAAACGTGCGAGTGAAATTTGACGTTTGAACATTTTGATAGGATTCCACAGCATTCTGTTCTTCTAGGAAAAAAATTAAAGATAATTACTTTTTTCTTTACTTTGTCTTTTAAATTCGAACAAATTTTGGTATGTATAAAAATGTAATATTTTCCTTTTTAATAGGCAATACATGTGTACCAAAGCCAATCTATGTTTAAAAGCTATTCCCATGAAAAAAATCTATTTTAATATGAAGTCCAGGTTTATACGTGTACTACCTACCAAAAGTATCCTCTCCAAATGAATGTTAGGGTTTGGAATTCAACGTGATGTCACAAACTGTGTTCTTTCAAAACCCATTTTCAAGATTAAATTGACTCCAAAATGAGAAGTAATCATAGTCATTACAACTTTAATATTGTTGACGGCGCCAAAAATAGCAATAATAATAAATTAAATATAAAGTAAATTTGTTTTCTCGCCAAAGTTCTGGGATGATTAATTTAAGCAGGGTAACTATAAATGGGACAGTATGATTCTTTTTGCTATACAAACCACAGAAAATTCACCCACCTTTTTGTAGTGCTATATATTAATACTGACATTGTAATTTGTAGGTTCTTACGCATAGGCCCATGGTGTACACATAATTTTCATATTGCGGACAATGCGCATCATTTAAATGAGTCAAAACTGTTTTTTTTTTCAATAATAAGCATTTTAATACAATAATTTTGGTGGTAATGCATTGCATTTACTTTCAGAAAGCGTCGTATTTTTGGGTAACTGTATACAGTATCCCAATTATTGTTCCCAGTGTTCTGGGGGCAACGCTGGTTACTGCTGCCAGGGATGCGCCACTCCATCAACAGCTTTGTTTGGAACCTACTTCTTGTGCCAATGTCCTACCGCTCCTCCTGTCGTGGTGAGTGTTTTAATCAACCCATAACTGAACGGGATTCGGCAAGCAAAGATTTTTTTGCCTTATCCGCTCAGATAATGGGCACTAAGCAGTTGTTTTGTGTTGTGTGATATTGCTGTTGCATCAAAAGTACGTCGGTGAGAATTTGTTAATTTGAGCTGATGATGTTTCAGCATCGTTTTGTGGGTTAAAAATTGTAATATTGCTTTCAAACAGATCGCCCTCACTTGTAAAGCTAACAACACTCTATTATAGGCCTATGCAATTACAACAATGTGTACAACAAACTGGTGCCATGAAATTTCCTTGTAAGGCTTCTGATTTTGTCAGGAAAGAAGCGAACTAATCCCTTTGTTTCATTGAACCTAGTATCTGTATAAACAGGGGGTTGTATCTCCTAATCGAAACGCTTTTAAGTCAAACACTGTCACCAGATCATAGTTCACGCCTACCCTCTACCAGGGCGACAGATAGATTTTTTACAGATATTCACAGATGTGTCTCTAGATAGATAGACGGTCATTTTGGTCTGTAGTCACCCTGTTGAAAAATCTTGACTACAGACCAAAATGGCTATTTGTTGAAGAACGTGTAACCATTTTCTAACTATCCCTGACAGCAGACGACCTTGTTTTAATCTGATAAACGGCTAATAACAGTGACATTAAACGTTACGTTACAGGATTCACCTCTTTATTGGGAATGTTAACGCACATAAAACTCATCCATTAACTGGTCCTGAAAAGGGCAACTTACAAGAGGCATTGGATAACATCCAAAGAATTTTAGGGATTTTCTGATAGTGCGCCACATTTTTGTTAACGTCATGCATCCTTTATCGATTGTGTTCATAAACTTATACATCTATGAGCGCATTCCGAATAGCGGACTAACAGACCCGTGGATCAAATATGGCGACCCACTAAAAAGCTTGCCGCTTAATTCCCAATTAGACACTGAATAGATTCCACGCGGTAATTATGCAGCAAGCCTTCAAGTTGGCGACCATATTTAATCGGCGGATCTGTTCAGGGGCGGATCCAGAAATTTTTTCTGGCGGTCTTTCAAATTATCTTTGTTGATCCATCCCCCATTTTTGACCGTCTTATGACAGAAAATTCAGATACCCGTCAATGTTAACTTGAAAACATGACCGGCTTCCGGAAGATCCAGAAGACGGCCTCAATCTGCCCCTGCTGTTAGTCTGCTAATCTGAAAGCGCTCTTTCTGACATTCTGTTAACAGGGTACCTGCCAGACTGAGAGCACCACTCCCCAGTGTGGCCAGTGTAACCCGCAGGCACGCAGCACTATCAACGGCCACTACATGTGCTGCTGTACCCCCAACCAATGGATAAGTATCACGATGTTTGGAACCATAATTAACTGCCAGTGTAATTCCAATCCCAATTAGACGGAAATGACAGAGGCTTTTCTTACTTTTACTTCTGTAAGAATACCAGCATCAGAGGAAACTACTGTATGCAGTCAATGACATAATACCAAGTTTTTTTTATATGATTGAATTCATTTCTGTACTGGAACATAGATTAACATGACCTTCAACAATATAATAATATAATAATAATGATACATAATATATATAATAATTTGATACAGTATGTTAATGAGCAAGTATCTTTATATAATGGACAGATGTACTAGTTAAATTACTAATAAAATGTTCTGAATAAGTGGAAAGTACAACTTCTTGGAATGTTTGCAGATGTATCATTAACACAGCATACATTGACAAATATATGTAACATAACACAGCGTAATTAAAATTTGCAAAGCAATTTCTTCACTTCTTTTCTTGAAAGATTTCAAGATAATATTGGAAAGGGAGACAAAATGATCTTTGTTGGCAGCACTGTTAAACACTAATATCATTTACAATTTGGTGACCTTGAGATAAAATCTCAAGGTCAGTAGGTCTGTTTCATACATTGGGCATTGAAGTATAAAAATTAATGGCATTCATCTTCAGTCGGCCTTTGGGTACACGGGCGACAGATTCTGTCACACCTTCAGTGGTCGTTTTGTCTCTGTTTGAAAAGTGTGATGAAGTTTTTTGGAGGTGACTGACTATGCCACACATGATATAATTGTTATACCGGTAGATGCATTTTGTGAATCACACTCCCGTGTTTTTAATTTCCGGATTAATAAACTACATTAGAGCGATCAAAGCATGTACAAATGAAATGTCACTAACCCCATCACGTTTTCGAGAACACGAGATTGTCGGAAGGTATTCCAGTTGTCAATTGTAGAATTTTCAATGAAGTTACTGCCTACGTTTCGGCGGCAGGGGGGGGGGGGGCAAAGTGCCACAGTTGACGGACTTTATCCTGGAACAGGGGCGGATCCAGAGATATTTTCTGACAGTCTTCCTAGTTTTCTTTGTTGATCCATCCTCCAATTCTTCCGACAGAAAAAAATTAGTTATCCGTCATTGGAAACTTAAAAATCTGTCAGTCTTCTGGAAGACCCAGAAGACGGCCTCAATCCGCCCCTGTGGAAATTCAAGTACATATAAAGCCGGTGTAACGTGACAGAGTCCCCCATGACAGAGAGTCCGCTTCCCATTCATTTATACAGGAAAACCTCGCCATAAATTTTGACCCACTTAGGTCAGACTAACCCTAACCATTTTAACTAAATAAAGGGCGGACTTTCTGTTAAACAGATACAATTAATTCGAAAACCATTTTGATAAGAAGACACTTAGTTACAGAGTTACCGGTACGTGGGGAACCACCCACTACCTTACACAGGCCCGTAGCCGGGGGGGTTCGGGGGGTTCGAAAGAACCCCCCTTTTTGCAGGCAAAAGGTCCACTCTGGGTGAAATTTAATTAAGGTACAGGAAAGTTTTATGGTAAAAGGTCCACTTTTTCAGAAAAAGAACCCCCCTTTTAAAATTTCTGGCTACGGGCCTGTTACACCATTTTGCAAATCAGTAATATGGAACGTCTAGTGATTCAAGACACTCTAGTCTTGTAAATGACAACGCATGTAACTGCGTGATCTATTTAAACGTGCATAATTGTGTTATTTTTAAAAATACTTTCAACTTTAACGTTGGATCACACATGAATTATATATCATAATGTACGATACTTAAAGGTACACTCTTAAGGGTTTGAAAATCCCAAAAATGTCTATTTTTATCATCCCAGCTTCCTATAAAACCTTACATACACCTTAAAATAATTTACGCCTTTAATATTTTTTCTGGAGCGTACCAATAGAACTAATATGAAAATGATCGCTGTTATAATGTCTGGTCAGTCATTTTAAGCTAAAATCAAACTTATCGAACTTATCGAAGGTCGAATCCAAATGCAGAGAGGGATAAATAAATGATTCGTGAATACGAGATAATTGCTTACTTTCCCAGGGAAATCCATTTTGGTGGGTAATTTTCATGGAGTTCATCTTTTAAAAGAGGCAAATCTCGCCCTAAATGTAATGAAAATAAGGGGAGCCCCTAAGAGATTGAATGGAGTAAAGAGAGAGAAATGGAGATAAGGAAACCGAAAAGCAGTAAACAAAGAGTATAAAAGAACAAAAAAGTTTTGTAATTTTTACCTCGCGTAACAATTATACAGCGAAAGTCAATACCATCGTCACATATGGAAGGATGGGAGAGACAAGTAGACCGCCTCGGCACAAGCACCACTGTTGTTGACAGACTGCTACCCAAGTTGTTAAGCTGATCATACAGGCAGCTGACTTGTCTGGGAGATTGAGATGCTTGGCAAACAAACGCAGACAGCTTACACGTTCAATATTCTAGAAATAAACAAGCGCTGCATTCGACAAAAGCACCCGATTCGTTACTGAACACTATACATTTATGAAGGCCCAAAATGCAAGATTGCTACATGCATGCATTAAGTAAAAATACAATGTCACCATCTGGAGAGGAAAATTTAATGAAATAAAAATTAACGCAGACACTTTTCTTGCGATAAATAAATTTATCAAAGCACAGATAAGACGTATTGCAACGGTATGTGTTAGATGAACACTTTTATCACAAACTGGTGTGTTGTACTGCATTAGAACAGTTCACCGATGGTATAACAATGCTGATAAAAACTTCTTTCTAACTGTTAATTATAATAAGATTGTACTGCCATGATGAATAGCCGTTAAATTCACTTTTTAAGCTTGGCTCAAAGGTAAACATTTGTACTGTATTTTACCAATCAAATCAAAGTCTTAGACACATGAAAATATTTTTTTTTACTTTAAAGTATTTATGTTCGTTAAAACTTGCACCACGATTTTCTAGATATGTGCACCACCTACGTCAAAATTTTATCTCAGAAAAATGAATATTCTTATTACAATGTACCCGTCTTGAAAACAGAAAAAGATACACGAAAAAATAAACAAAGCTATTTTATGACAAATCATGCATTAGATAAAAAGTATATAATATAGAATACAAGTAGTCTCCATTACCCTTACGAAAGCTTCAGGATAAAAGCCATTATATAAAAATATGAATGATTATGTATGACACAATTTATGTAACACAGAGAGATGCAAAGCATACCTGCATTTACCGTAAAAACAAAAGGAAAATTATTACAGCCTTTGAGGTAAAAAAAAACTTATAATTCTAGGATTTTTACCTTGAATGTTACACCTGGAACAACTCAATTCTTGTTACATTAAAATCCAACAGTCTCAAAAACAATGATGAGATGGAGGAAAAAATACCCCCACACATGACTGGGGGTAAACTTTGGACATGCCTTTGCTGTCTTATTCTTTTAAAATAAGCCCTAAATATACAAGAAACCAACTTGTTTAAAAATTGGACTGACATTGGAATTTTTTTCAACAACTCAGACTTATCTTATACACCAAACGATAACACATATTGTAAATACTAAGTTAAAGAATATTAGCATTTACAAAAAAAAAAAAAAAAAAAAAAAAAAAAAAAAAAAAAAAAAACTACATTATGGCCACATCACAAGATTACGTGGCATACTGCTATAGAACAGAATGAGGTTTTGATATGCATGTCTCTTAGCTTATTAAGTACAACTTATTTTGTTTTGTGACCTTTATGTGGTGCTTTGACATAAAGCAAAGTGTCAACCTCAAGGCCATTCTAGAACATCTTACCACAACCAAAGGTACAGAAAGTACGTCATTCTTTAATCTCAAACCACAAACTCCCTTTCTGCCTTCCAGGTAAACTCTATTACAATTATTCAAAACCTTAATTCAACCACTTATTACTTTTTACTAACCACTTCAAAGTTCTTGGTCGAATTCCATATATCAATTATTTTTCTTTTGCTCACTTGAGAGAAAAATTGATGGTGTCATACTGTGATTTTCACAGAAAAGGAGTGAAAAATGCCACTTTCTAACTCGTGAATGAAAAAACTTAATATGTGCCTGCAATGGATAAGCTGCAAAAGCTCAATTTTCACACAATGCTTTGTACGTTTCCTATCTAATATAAAAACACCTCCGTTTAAATAACTTGATAATTTACGTTTCAACTGATCTTGCAAAACATCAAGATTACAAAATAAACATGCTAACAGCATTACAAAGTGGGGTTTTCATCATATAAAAATATTTTAGAATCCATGGTGATAAAAATGATCATAAAATCCTATTATTCATTATAAAAATATGTTAAAATAAAATCTTTAATTTTTATTTTCAGATATAAAGCATGTTGAAGAAATAATTAGAACCATATACTGTAAAATATGGATGCTATTATGCTACTTCTTTAAATGGCTGCATCCATATAACAGTGCTGGATTTCAGTTTCCCTTTTATTAGCTAAAAATGGATTCATAAAGATGTTTTTTTTTTTTACTACAAGAAAAATAATCTGGGACTCAATAATTATTTGTCTCATGGTTTCTAATGAAAATTCCGCAAGGTCTTTCCTTCCATTGATCTTTTTATTCAATATCTAAATATCTCAATATTTTCACTGTAAAATGTAAAACTTATGCTCCTTTTTCTTCTTTTAAGAATGTCTATTTCCCAGTCACTTCATACATCTGCTAAAACATAATGGCTGTAAGTGTTGCCAAGACAATAGTAACAATTCCATAGGTGGCAGCACTGCTCCCACTTGTTTTGTTCCCTCCTCCCTGCCCAGCAGTGTTAGTACAACCAACACATTCTGGACATACCTCACACATGGTTTTCTGAGCTTGTGGCTGGTAGAACACAGTGGTCTCCACATCTGAAAAAAATATTATGTGCATTTAGTACACCTGTCAGGCCTGTAGGCAGCAATTTTAAGAAGGGGATTTTTTTTCTGAAAAAGTGGACCTCTTTATCTCCCCCCCCCCCCCCTTCCTGACCCACACTGGACTGGATGAACCCAAAACAATAAATCATAAAAAAATTAACAACACTTAACTGAGACTGGTTCTTTAACATGTGGCGCCATTCAAGCACATTACATGTAATACCACATTGTACTTACTGGTTGTAAACAAGTGATGCCATAAGCACTATATGTATTTGTCTAGACAACAGCCACTGCTGGCTCTTTGTAACTTTGAACAAACAAACAAAAAAGGCAGCAAAGCTGTTAAATGTGCAGACATAAAAGGAAATAATGATGCCATTATTATATGGTTATACAGGTGTATCGACAATTTATATGCAATTTTATATGAAATTTTTTTAAATATGCACAAAAAGTGACATGGACACTAGGAATACCTTAAAAGTAGTACAGGGTTTCCAGGCATTTCATGAACATCTCATAAAAAATTGCAACTCAAGCTGTATTTTAGTCCTATGTTTCTTTTCTGTAAGTTTGAGAATCATAAGTGACATGGTTTTCCTTAAGTGGTCATTAACAGTGACAGTTTCCAAAACTGGGTTTTCTGCAATTTTGAGGCAACATGACATAAAGCTTAACAACACCATCACCACCAATTTTTAACTATAAGGATCATGGATATTCAGAAAATGTGACCACTGTAGTAAAGATCTTCATGCCCAAGGAAATTCAAAGTCACACAATGAAAATTACAATATTTGAAAAATGAACATTAAAAAAAAAATGCAACTTCAAATAATAATAATAATAATAATAATAATATTGTGATCAAGCTGATTTTTAACTAGACAGTATTTAAGTTATATACATTGGTTCTGTAGGTATGAAGACAATAGGTCAAACAGTTTTCCGTTAAGTACGTGTTATCTGTATTGTATTGTATAATATATGCTGAAAAAACAGCATAACTTCAAAAAAAAAAAAAAAAAAAATGGTTTGATCAAGCTGATTTTCAAACTTGACCTGAATTTTAGTAGTATTCATCACTCCTGTAAGTTTGAAGTCAATAAACCTACTGGTTTTCCTTGAAATGTGTTATTTGTATTGCATATGGTATAGTATATGCTAAAAAAATTTGTGGAAAAATGGTCTGATCAAGCTTACGTTCGAGCTCTACCTGTATTTCGCTAATATGTAATTTTGAAGACAAAAGGTTAGGCATTTTCCCCTAATTGTGAAAACTCTGAAAGTGCATGATGACAGCAATGAAAGACGCAGGTGATGGCTATATGCAGAGACACTGTATGTCTGAACATAAAAAAACTGCCTGAATTATGATTCTAAAAGTCAACATATTACCCCTGTGACACCATAATTATCCAAATATGAAGGTACAAGTACTATCATTTGTCAAAAACAACATGGAATAACTCATTCTGACAGTGATGCCTTTGTGTCTTTTGAATTGAAATACATGACATGCTCACCAACAAGTTTTTTGGACAAAAATGGAAAATAACACAACTTTTGGTATTGAGTACAGACATGATTAATTATTTGCCAAATTATTTAAATTTTTTTTAACTTGTAAAAGATTCACATTGTACATCAGTGCAAAAAATTATTTTGTTTTAGTTAAAATATGACATACATTTGTAAATATGCACTGATGGAAATATGGATGTCAACATGCAAAGTTTTACAGATTGACACACATTTTTGCTTGATAATAAAACATATGCTATGGATTGAGGCATTTCATCCATTAATAACAGTACTAAAAAGTAGTATGTGCACAAAGCTTTCACACACTACATATGAACAGTCCGGAAAACGTCCAACCCTGATCATTTAGGACAGAAGACCTGAAAAACCAAAGATGATGAAGAAATAGGAAGATAAAAGGGATCAGTTGTTTTAATATCAAATCACTATATTTACCATTTTGATAGTAAGCTGACAGTGTGATGGGGGCCTCCTGGACATTGGTCACTGCTGCCACCCTCTGAGCCTTGACCATCCAACATTTTTCATCAGTGGGTAACTACAGAAAAAAAAAAAAAACAATGTGAGATGTTGAAGGTCATGTTATTAAGTGTTTTCGACGGTGTGTGCATACTATCACGTGTAGCAACTAGACACGACTGGGGATCGAGACACGATTGGCGCGACACGAATGGTGGACAGAAGGAGTCCAGTTGTCTATAAAAACATGTGGGATGTCCAAGGTCATGTTATTATGTGTTTTAAACGGTGCATGCATGCTATCACATGTAGTAACTTGAAACGAATGGTGAACAGAAGGCGTCCAATTGTCTATAAAAAACACGCGAACCCCTTAGGGAAATGGGGAGCATTTTAGTAAACAACTTCTGATTCATGTATGACAAATGATCCTTTAGGTAAGACTGTTACTGTAATAGTTTCTCCACACACTAACTACTTTTTCAACTAATACATCCATCCCTTCAGATATCTAACAATACCTCATCAAAATATGCAACGAGTTTCTGATCCTCAGTCTCCACTTTCTTAATCCCATCTTGCTTACGAAGTTGGTCAGCATCAGCTGCATACCCTGAGACAACCCCATACTCCAGGGTAACCATGCCACTTCTGTCAACACCAGTCCACCTGTGAGCAATGAAAATAATTTTTCATTGAAAACTGAAATTCCATACTGATTTAACGGGATAATAACCCTTTGTATGAGATAAATATTTCATAAGAAAATTATAAGCATAGAAATATAATTCCTTTTTACAATCAATATGGCAATTTCTTCAATTATTCTGGAATCTGTGCTTGTCACTGGGCCATGTGACCTCCAAAGATGGCTATCAAAGGTAATAATGTCTTAAGAGATTTAAAAAAATCTTTTTAGAAAAAAAAACAAAAAAAAAAACAAAACAAAAAAAAAAAAACAGGAACTAACTTTAAATGGTGGAATTGATTCATTAACCACTGGTAAGTATGGAAAAATTGTTGTTTTTACCCCAGGCAAATCCTTTTTTTTTATGTTTTGTTTTTTGTTTTGCCAAAATGAACATTTTTTCTCTCTTTAAGTTCTGAGTAATATGTAGGCAAGAGAAAACACTGATACACTTGCATCTACCCAGTGACAATATATTTCACATAGGAAAAATGCCCAATACTGAAGAAAGTTCTCTCTAAATAATATTAAAATATACATTTTTTTAAAAATCAACATACTATGGTGTTTAAATGACTGGTTAGCATTAACAGACTTGAAAAAAGCATGTTTTCAACATTTTAACTGACATTAGTTGCACAAAAATCATTAAAAAGCCATTTAAATTACAACCCAAGGAGCCTCATAATGGCAAGGCTTGGGAATGAACGTCATTCCGTTATGGCTTTTGAGATGAATTAAAATATGTGAAGTTGGTAGCTGTTATTGATGACAGCATACTAGATAGCTATTAAAAAACCAGTATCCCTCTTAAATGCTGGTCTTATGCGAAATGCCAGTGAAGCCTAAACTGGGCCAGTAAAGATGATGGAATTTTGTTTACTAATTATAAAGGACTCATTCCTACTGAACCTATCGGTCTATGTGGATCGCGCCAACTCCGCAGGGAATCTAACTTAATATAATCAATCTGTTCAACCGTAGATTAACAGGTCTTCTCATGTTTCCAAAAAACACACTCGCATAACCATCAGCTTTTCTGTATTCTACTCAACACCAAGAAGTGGCGTGATAATCTGTTTAACTAATTGCAATCAGTGAGAGTGTGTCCACAGAGTTGGACAGATCTGTGTAGTCTGACAGTTTCAGTGCATTTATTAGGCCAGTAGATTCTCAGATTCTTGTATTCTGCAGGGCCAATAGGCCCCAAGAAGCTCTATTAATACTATTATTATTAATAGCTTATTATTGATACGGTACCTTCCACAGACTTGGGCTTCCATGCTATTCTTGTCCTCGGACTCTTGAACACTCACTCTCAGTGCAATTCCATTGTTTTCACTGGAGCTGCCAGAGTCTCCAGTTTCGGGGAATGTCTTGATGTAATTGGCTTTCTTATATCCTCCTGCCTTTACATTAAATATGGAGGACACCTTGTGAAATAGAAGAGGAACAAACATGGAAAAACTCATCTTATTAGCAAGTCTAAAAGACTGGTAAACCCAGACTCAGTGACTAAAACAGACAAAACACCATGGTTTTATTCTTTTCTTGATGAGATGGCTAGTTTGCTTGTCTTATCCTTTGCCATGAATCTTCAGGACACCCGTGGGAAAAAAAATGAACTTACATGTACATCTACAGCAAGATTAAGCATAATGCAAAAGAAAATGCAGATTACACAAAACAAATTTTCTACTTATTTTGAAATGGTAGTCTACAGTCCCTGTGCATTGATTTGAAAGCTATCAGCAAAAGAAAATCATAAACTCACTTATCCCACAGCTGGCACTTTGAACAATAGGATGATTGCACTTGTATTTCACTAACACACTTACCTGTACTTAAATACTCTCTGGTGCAGTCATCCTATTGTCCCAAGCGCCAAGCATGGAATAAGTAAATACTTACTGTCCACTGTTTGCAATATGCAAAAGCAGGCCTGTAGCCAGGGGGGTTCAGGGGGTTAGAAAGAACCACCCTTTTTGCCAGGAAAAGGTCTATTCTGGGTAAAATTTGATCTGAGTACACAAAGGTTTCATTGTAAAAGGTCCACTTTTTCAGAAAAGAACCCCCCTTTTGAAATGACTAGCTACGGGTCTGAAAAGCAATTTTTACCTGGGCTGCACCTTGATATAATGACGCTCTCAAATGTCACATACAGTGGACACCTTGTGTTTTAACTAGAATATAAACCATTTTCACAAACATTTCATTGTCGCTTTTACCAATCACTTAATAATGCACTGAATACCTGAATCAAGCCGACACCAGTGCCGGTCACTCTTATGGTCACTTCTCTTGTGCTCTTCTCCAGCTGTAACCAACAATAATACTGGCATGAAGATTTATAGCACACGTGTGTGAAACACCTGTACATTTCTTCTTAATAACTTAATATCTTTAAAGCTCTTTTGGGTTTGAAAATTGATTGTATGCAATATTTTGATGGATGAGAAATGGAAGATGACAGAGTAAGTTGTCATGTAACCTCTTTCCAATCACTGACAGAAAAAAAAAAAAAGGGAAACTGACAGGGGAATTTATAGCTGTATACAATCAAGTTTATTGTCAGGTCGAAATATTCAGAATCATTAAAAATTTTCAAAGTTATTTCTTGATATTCAGCCAGTGGGAAATACATAATGGTGACACTGTCTGTATTATTAATAATAATTATAATAAAAAAAATAATAATAATATGCTTATCCCAGCTGAGTTACCTAGTAACAGTGTACATTATTGGCAAAAATTGTTTATTCCATAATAATTAAACAATTTTGAATGCTACAATGTGTAACACTACGTTTATACACAGGTTTAAATTATATTTAATGACATCAATGTGCATTAGGATGAAATACTTTAAGTTAACAATATGTGTACACTTCACCTTCAAATCCATACATTACCTGTATTTTTTGCAACACAAGATCATTCTGGTCAGTAATTGGGGTGAAAGAGCTTTCAACGTCCTGATCAGTGGTAACAGTGATCTGCAAGTTTTTATTAGTATTGCCGGACAGAGCTGCAAATTCCGCCAGGGCAGTAAGACCCATAACTGTGTCCTGAAATTAAATTAATTAAAATAAAAAAATAGTAACAAGAACTAAAATTAGAAGCAACTCTAGGAAAACCCTGTACACTTAAATTTACATGCATTTTTTTTTTGTTATTAAAAAAGAAACAAAATCTCAGGACCTGCAATTCTCCTTGTTGGCTGTCAAAAATAACTGCAAAGCTAAATTGAAAGTGGGATGTACCCTTTGTATTCAAATTCAAATAAAATTCAATGTATTGTATTGCATTCTATTGTATCATGCTGCATACGTCCCCTTAGCAAAATGAAAAGTTTGCAGCAACAGTTTGCAGGAGTTTGCAAGAAAAAAATTATTGCTGCTAATTTGCAGCCATATTGCAGCAAACTTGCTGCAAATTTGCAAGAAGGAATTCCAGTTTGCAGCAATATTGCAGCAAACCCATCACAAACTCACTACAAATTTGCAGCAGATATGATATTTTGCTAAGGGTAATAATACATTACCTGAGTGGATCTGAAGCCTCCATGCCCATTTCTCTGAGATGTCAACCACTTCATCATGGGTACACCAGTGATAAGATCTCTCTTTGCCAAATACGTCAACAGGACGTATGATGTCATCTCAATGGACGATGACTTGGCCTGATGGTGATAGAAACGGGAGCCACTCACAGGCATTGGGTCACTTTGATCTTCCCAAAACTTCATTCCGTCTATAAAGGAAATAAAAGTATTTACATTATAAGATGTTCATCTCTTGAAATAAAGAATGGAGGCCTTCCATACATCTTGAAAATATATTTGACTTTTCAACACAGAGACAAATTCCAAAACTACTTTACAACATGTCATAGTTATGCATTCTACAACTGCAAAAGAGGAATCATGACATAGGGCTACTAAGATGAAAAAAGAAAGCTTTAGGACAACTATTTCAATTGATATTAGACAAAGAGCAAATGCCGCTTTCCACAGTGCCATAGAGTGCATACAATACAGCAGACTAACAGATCCACGGATCAATTATGATGACCCATGAAAAAGCTAGCTGCTTTATTTCCGATTATACACTGAACAGTTCTTAAAGCCTGCTGTAAAACCCTTTAAATCAAAAAACCTCCAAAAAACACCAGATGTCAGCACATGCCAGTATGATCCCTTAATTTCTGGCCAGGCCCCTCTTGGGCAGCAGACTTCTCTTTGTAGCAATGTACTACATTTTACCTTTTTCTGTTGCCATGGGTTCCAGTTTGGCCAAAGTCTGGTCAGCCAGGGATTGTTTGCCTGCTTTGATAAAAGCATATGCCATAATGGACAGAATATATGGGTCAGTGATGGATGATAATTCGGTCTCCAAGAACCTCATTGCATCTGCCAAGCTGGTGGCGCTGTCCGAAGACTGGAATGAGGATTGTCACTGTGACAGTTCAAATTCATAGTAATAAAATGGAGAATTTGACAGATTGAAGACAAAAAAAAATTCAATGAGCATGTATTCCTGATGTTTTTTGACTATTATTTACCACTTCTCAACCATGGCAACTTAATTTGTATAGTTTTTACCTACGCCAACAAAACAATGTTTTCACTGATGCTAGTTTGTCTGCATGTTTGTTATTGAATAAGATATCTCAAAATTGTCTTCAACATTTTTGATGATGATGATTTTAATTTTTAATATTCACCAATTCTTAAGAAAAATTTACAACTTACAGAGACTGAGGCCTGAGCTTCAGCTAAAGCAGAGGCCACATAAGCTGTCAGGGAAGTCCCACTGCCTGCTTTACCCTAGTAAAAAAGACAGTACACAAAATTTAACGAACAATTCTAATTGCGAAATTATCATGTAAAAGACTCCATGAAAATGAATTCATTGCAAGGTATACCCCCCTCCCCACCAAAGCACTAATAAAAGAAAGTTAAATGATTTGTTTTCCGATTTTATCATACTCAGTGGATTATCTTACCTTTAAAGTAGATGTTATCTAGTTTAAAACAATTTTCATTATATTAAAAAAGTCAAAATTATTCCTTACTAATATGTAGGCTCAAAAGACTGAATATCATGGCAAAAATATTGAGATACAAATAGATACCCTTGCAAGCAACCCCCCCCCCCCCCCCACACACACACACACACACACACATTTATCAAGCCCAGACCTGCATATCCTTGTGAATAACATTTCCTGGCTCTGGAAAAGAACCATCTTTGCTTTGTTTCTTCAAAATCCAGCTTGTAGCGTTGTTGATAATGGCTGGGTCAATAAACACTTCTGGGTCATTCAGCATCTTCAGCTGGTGGAATGATTTCATCACAAATGCAGTCAACCTGAAATTAAAATAAAATCTTTAGCCTCAAATTTTGAAAGAACTAACCTAACCACCATTCTTTCACAGTTATTCCAATTTCTCCATAATAACATGGACATAATGAGAGAAGGACGTGAAACGCGGAGCAAGATCAAAGGATAATCGGCTTTACGTGAGCTCTTCGCGAAACCATGTGCGTTCGGATCACGCGACCTCCCGTACAGGTAAGAGAGCATATCGTAGTTGTCGATGACTTTTTGTGTCATTTGGGCAGGTAGTTCGCGATAACGTGAGTCAATCTTTCGGGTGGATGAGACAAAAAAAATTATAGAGATTAAGTATAAGTACAATTTGTTCTGTCAATTTGGAATCTATGTGAGAATTTGATATGTTTATTCATGGAGGAATTCAAAATGCCCTATGTGGTAAAGGCAATCTTGTTTGTTGCCGTAAAATGAGCATTCAAAATTGTACAATTGTAGTGTAGTATACTTGTTTTCAGCTATGGTCTGATTGGAAAATATTTCTAGTGTCAAACTTTTCTCTCTACTTGAGAAATTAGCCTGAGACGCAGTAATAATGAAACCTTCAATCGTGTCTTGAATAAAAATGACACAATTCCTCTCTGATTTATTCAACTCGCTGACATCGTTTTAGGTCTGCAGGGGCGGATTTAGGCCGTCTTCTGGGTCTTCCGGAAGACGATCAGATTTTCAAATTTACATTGATGGGTATCTAATTTTTTTTCTGTCGGAAGTCAGTCAAAAACGGAGGATGGATCAATAAAGATAATTTGGAAGCCTGTCAGAAAATATCTCTGGATCCGCCCCTGGTCTGGTATTTTTTACGTACGGTTTAGGTAAAGGTGGCATTTACACTGCTGTGTACTATATGAATAGGTTTATATTACGTGCTTAAGTGAGTCCGAATTATGTAATAATAATTAATATTTTTAACATTAAATATGGGCTCTCGTTGCAATAGGGCACCACACATGCATTCGTGACCCACAAAAACGCACCTGTGGGCCTTTTAATATTCTTTTATCATAGTTGACATTAACACTGCTCTGAAGTATATATATACATTTACACATTACCGGTTACGGTCTGCTCCAGTCTGAGAATGATAATTATTATCTTTTTAACTTTCAATATGGGCTCTCATTGCAATATGGCACGACACACGCATTCGTTACGCACAAAAACGCACCTGTGGGCCTTTTAATATTCTTTTACCAAAGTTGACACATTACCAGCTACGGTCTGCTACAGTTTGAGAATGATAATTAATAGTTTTTCATCTTTAAATTGGAGTCCCTAAACAGCATAGAGACAATTGACAAACACCTTCATTGGTCTTTTAATTTAAGTATAAATGTGGACATGTACACATGCAAACTTCATGATTATATTTACTTGGGTAATGGTCATAAAAGTGGATCTTGATCACATTTGAGATTAAAGTCTCACCTCTGTAATTGGCTTGCTACATTGCATTATCTTGTTATCAGATGCGTTTGGATAGCACCTACCTGCCTTTATTTGTCAACATGCTTTTAAACCAGTTATATATCAGTTCGACATATATCAATACAATCTTGGAAACGATAGCAAGTTTAGTCAAAGGCCAGAGTCCGTTTTAATTAGGTAACAGGAAAAAGAAACTGAAAACCCGAAACAAATTTCCACTTGTTGACCCAAGTCTATGTGCTAGCAACTACAAGATGGAGGCAATGCTGTATCATAGCAACCACGAGGGACCGCCAGAAATTGTGTTATCCATGCAATAGAACAAAAGAATTTCAATGAGGCACAGCGTGCACTTCCTTGATCATAAGTTCTTCAGGCTCCCGTGGAGTTATCAAAACAGCTTATCTGAGACAACTGGCAAATGTTTACCCGAACGCACATAGCTTCAAAGGAAGATTCTGCATTTCACGTCCTTCTCTCATTATGTCCATGATAATAACTGCCAGTTATTCAAAGTATTTCACACTTAATCCATCTACCTAACATTTTCAATTATAGGATCCTGGTTGCTAAATTAGATTTACCAACTAGTGGTCAGTGAGTGAAAACATCTATCTATTCACTTCAGTCTGATGACCGTCTATGACCAAGATGACTGCAAGGTAACAAAGGGTGAGAAAAAAAGCTCCACCTTGTGTCAAACAGTTCTGATCTTTAATAAAGCCCCCTTTACACTGGACGGCGTCCTTTCTGCGTCCAGCAGTACGGCCCCATTTGAGAGTTAAAAAATTATAATACTTTACGGCCGACAACTGGCCGATCATTGAGCATTCATTCTGATACAAAATCGATGCTTGTGCCTCCTTATTAAGACCACAGCGATGCCAAATTTCATGGTCGCAGAAAGGACGCCGTCCAGTGTAAAGGGGGTATAACTTACCACATGCTCCCGCTGTTATCATTATTCCCAAATGCACTAAATGACCCATCATCATGTTGATAGTTTAGCTCTCTCTCATATCCTGGTGATCAAAAAGCAATCATCAGACTACAATAACTTCAAATCATTCTCAATGCAGCAGTTAACTATATAAAGTTTGCTACCTACGAGTTTCCTGAAAACATTCACTTCAACACAACAAAACACATGGCTGGGGCATTTAAGTTTTATGAACAAAGCCTCAAAAGTATATATTTACCCTACAAATCTCATTACAGTTACTTGAAACTTTTCATAAAGTACCCCATCTTTACTCTGATAATCTACACATTTTCTTAGTTCATTTATAATATTATGGATACATACCCAATTTCATGAATTTGGTCGTCTTTGCACGGATGTCATCAGACAGTTTGTTGACACCTTCCAGGTATTTTCTCACCACAATGTTGGGCACCAGCCCCAGCATGTTCTGCTCCCCGCAGCCAGTGGGTTGTCTCACCAGCCTCTCCAGACCATCCAGGGTAGACCCCATTATATCACCTGAGAAAAAAGCATTGGAAATGATATTCAGATCCAGACATCTCTCTCTCTCTCTCTCTCTTTAGATCATCCAGAGTGAACCCCATTATATCACCAGAGAATAAAGCATTGGAGAAGATATCAAGATCCAGAAATCTCTCTCTCTCTCAAAAATAAAGTGTCAATTCAATGTAAGCTGGTTAACAAGTAATCTTTTTTATTCTCCAAAGCTTCCTGAATCTCAAATAGTTCGGGTCAATCATGCTACATGTACATGCTACTACACACAAACAAAAAAGCCCTAACTGGGAAAGATTTAGAAACAGTCTGGAAGAAGAGCTCCCACCTCTCCTCTCCAAGTAAAAGCATTTAAAAGAGAATCCTGTGGTCCAAATATTCACCACAACATTTATAATATCAGAAAACTGTGAACTATAAACAGTATATATCTTTATTTCAAATGTTTCTATCAGTACATTCATACTAAGCTGTTATTTTTGAAATCATTTCAAGCTGAACTTTGACAGCTTGATGTCACTAGAAAGAAAAAAGCAAGAATCTGCGTGAGGTGAGTTAAACTTTTAAACCAAAATCTCATCAAATCAATTCCTATTAACACCTTACCAATGGCTGACACAGTGATGTACTCTGACCCAGGGACGAGGGTGCTGGCATTTGCGATAGGCAGCTGAAGGGTTTGTTGAAATGGAGTCGATGATGTCACGTTCACTAAGAATGATTGTGCAACTTCTTGGAGTTTACCCTCAGGCTGAAATTATCAATAAATTTATTCAAGTTCAAAGCTATTAGCATTTCAACTCTATTCTACAAAAAGCAAATTAAAGAAGTTCCTGAATCTGACTGGTATGCATACTTAAACCTTATTGGCAGTTCTACTGATTTCATTACAGGGTTGAGACTGCCATTTAGTGAAAAAATTGGAAAATATGGCACGGGGTCCAGAGGGCTTCCTAAGCCAATGATATTTTGGCTCCCAAAAATTCAGAAATGTGGTAATACATATGTAGTTGGAAAAATCTCATCCCTAAAATTAAAATCTTTGTTTATTTTCACTTTGCTTTCATGTGCCTTTACTCTTATCCTTGACCTATAACATTTTTCTCTGCTTCTGACCACTTCAGTTGACATAACAGTGAAATTAAAAGCAGCAGGATTGTCAAGAGCCATCATGATTGCTGTCACCTTCACAAGCAACATTTTCTCCATCCCGTCTGCTGCAGAGGTGGACTGGGCATGCACCTCGACCTTGACCCCACCTAGGTCCTGAGGAACTATCCAGAAGGAGGTGGAAGTGCCTCCACCTGCTGGTACCTGAGAACATCAAAAATATATAGTAAAACTAAACTTTTTCAAATGTCTGAGTGAAACATAGTTCTTTCTCATATCTATAATCTTGAGAAATCTTGAAAAAATTTCCATTATTAGACAAGGGATAAGGTACAAAATTATCAGATCACAATTATTGTTATTTTATTATCATTTTTGTGAAAACGAAAAATTAACAGAATTTGGAAGTCATGAAAAGACTTTTGTCACAGAAAAGAATGACTTTTAGCCCATTTTTGGTAAAATCTATATAAAATTAGATTAGGCAGGTTCAATTGAAATAATTTCAATAAAAGGTGAATAATAAACTAAAAAGATTTAAATATATAACATGATTAGACCAGGAAATAAAAGGGGAAAAATTACTGACAGTAACCCCTCACTTTTATGACATTCTTGACTTCAGCAAAGGCAAGGCCTGAATCAATCTTGTTGCTTGATTCTTCCTTTCCTTGAACCTTAAAAGCTGTGGATCTTTTTAGAGTAACTGTCACCTAAAAACAATAAGACAAAATGCATTTTAATATGCTATTTGAAAATATCTTTTATCTTATCAGAACAAAAATAAAGTCTAAGCAATAAACAACTGTTACAACGATTATACACTGAGCATAAATATAAACAGCCCAAGCAATACTTTAAAATTTTTATCAGCATTATTGGTTCTTTCTATCTATATATCTATCTATCTATCTATTATCATACGAAGTGATTCAGAATTTTGTTGTTACTGCCAGTAGCTACAGATTACTCTATATAGCCCACTGCATGTGAGCACATATTTTTTGCACAGTGAATAATGTGAAAAATGTTAGATATAAAAAAAACAAAGACTGTAATTCAGGTATTGAACCCTTCATAAATTTTAGTTACCACTGCCATGATGATGACAGGAAGAGATTTGAAAGCATATATAAACTGGACCAAAATCACTATTCAAACTATCTTTTAAAATTATGTAATTAAATACTTCTCCATATTTTTACATTCCATATAACATCACATGACACAGGAGTTGAAATCAATCTGATTATTTCATAACCCTTTTTCAGAAGTTCACAACATTTTTTCATTAATTTCAATATACTAAGGCTGTGTTCACATGAAAAATCTATTTTCTAAAAATCTAAAAATCTATTTGCGGTATGTTGTGATCAGGGTCTGTGCCCTGAATACCCCAAGGCATAATTACGGGCAGCGCAGGCCAGTTACTTCCAAAGCTGTAATTAATTCTCGGTGCTGCCAGTAATTACGCTGCGGGGTATTCAGGGCACAGACCGTGATCACAACATACCACAAATAGATTTTTAGATTTTTAGAAAATAGATTTTTCATGTGAACGCAGCCTAAGACCCAGCCAATAAGCAATAAAATGTATCTCAGATAAAAAATACCCATAACTTACAGTTTGGTCCACTCCCATGTAGTTGAACACTATAGCCTTCAGTTCCAACTGTTCTCCTCTTACCACTGAATACGGCAGGTTAACGGTCACAAAGAACGGTTTAAATGCACGCAGCTGAAAATTCAAATAAAATATGCCACTATATTTGACTGACAAGTCCATGCAGGCATGCACACACACAAATGCATGTTATTAGACGAGTCTCCTATATTGTGTTTTAACAAGAAAGATCCTTAAAGGAAAAGGTAAAGAATAAAGTAAAAAGGAGTTCTGTCTACCATTTATTATATTATAAGGTGTGCTGATGAAATCTTAAAAAAAGAAATACAGCAAAAAAAAATCTATAATGGTAGAATAAGTAAAACAACACTGAATCTTGACTTTGATCTACTTACTGCCACATTGAAAAAAACAAAAAAAACAAAATCTGAAAATCGAACATTTAACCATCAAATTTCACCAAATCGGGACAAAATTTAATTTAAACTAGAGGATCAGAGAGGCGATACCGCCTCCCGATATAGTACCACCAGCTGGAGCAAGCGCATTCATGTGGACCCCTCCCCCCAAAAAAAGAGACACCACCACCAGTCTTGTGCTTGACAAGCTCTATAAAATGCAATCAACAAGAATTCTCAACATATGCAAAAGAAAAAGAAAAAATCAAAAATGGTACAATCAAAATTCAGTTCATCATAAAAAGTAGGTCAAAGGTCAATTTTAAGGTCACAGTAAATTGCCAGTATATCACTTCCCATTCAAGTTCAATAGTAACTATGGACCTATCTCTGCCAGTTTTGGAGATAAAAGGAAACCAAATTTAAAAAAATTCAATTCATGATGAAAAGTAGGTCAAAGGTCAATTTCAAGGTCACACTTAGATTGCCAGTATATGACTTCTTATTCAAGTGCAATAGTAACTATGGACCTATCTCTGCCAGTTTTGGAGATAAAAGGGAACAAAAATTTGCGAAGTTCAGTTCATGGTGAAAAGTAAGTCAAAGGTCAATTTTAAGGTCATAGTAAATTGCCTCTAATGACTTTCTATTCAAATTCAATAGTAACTATGGGCTTATCTTTGCCAGTTTTGAAAGTATAAGCATTAAAAAAGTTGCAAAGTTCAGTTTAAGGTGTAAAGTAGGTCAAAGGTCAATTTCAAGATCAGAGTAAGATTACCAGTATATAACTTCCTATTCAACTTCAATTGTAACTATGGACCTATCTCTGCCAGGTATGGAGTTAAAAGGGAAATAAATTAGCAGAGTTCAGTTCATGATAAAAAGTAGGTCAAAGGTCAATTTCAAGGTCACACTTAGATTGCCAGTATATGACTTCCTATTCAACTTAAATAGTAACTATTGACCTATCTGTGCCGGTTTTGGAGATAAAAGGCAACAAAAATTTGCAAAGTTCAGTTCGTGGTGAAAAGTAGGTCAAAGGTCAATTTTAAGGTCACAGTAAATTGCCTCTAATGACTTTCTATTCAAATTTAATAGCAACTTTGGGCATATCTCTGCCAGTTTTGGAGATAAAAGGGAACCAAAATTTGCAAAGTTCAATTCATGATGAAAAGTAGGTCAAAGGTCAATTTCAAGGTCACACTCAGATTGCCAGTATATGACTTCCTATTCAACTTTAATAGTAACTATTGACCTATCTCTGCCAGTTTTGGAGATAAAAGGGAA